GGTGCTGGGGGGTCGGGGGGATCCGGAGTGGGGGGGGGTGAAGGGCGGTGGCAGAGCCCGTCGCGAGGGGGACTTCCCCTGGGGCCAGCGGGGCTACTCGTGTCCTGCCGGCCTGGTCCGGGGGGGGAGTGAGGAGCAGCCCTGGGGCCTGGCTGGGGCTGGGGTAGGGGCGGCTTCTCCGGTCTCCTTTGGGAACAAGCGTTATAATCCCTGGCTGCCTGTGCCATCCGCTTGACTGCAAGTCCCGCTCTGCAAGCGGCTGTCTCAGACTCTGCCCAAATGCCGCTTAAGATGCGTGCTGCAAGAATCTTAAGTTTTCTGCTCACTTCTAAGAAAAAAAAGCTGTTAGTTATGTAGGATGAGGATGGTTGTTAGGGAGATGTTCTGTGCCCCGGGTATTAACAATACCTCCTGGGCTTGTACCAGCCTAGGGCAGTGTCTTGGATGATTATTGTTGGTCTTCACTGTGCTCGTACAATGATTTCTGTTGTGATTTGTAGCAAAACCGCAGGGCTGTGGTGTGTCTGTGCAAGGTTGTAGAATGATACATGCTTCCCAGGGGAAGCACTGCCCAGCTGAGACTTAAATTATCAGAAGAATAACTTTCTGGAGGTGGAGACTCGACGTGTTCTTATCTATGCGGACAGAATTTGTGAAGCTTCTAGCTAGGTAAATCCAAGCAAAGCATGTACTAAAAATCTGGTATTTAAGGTGTCTTTTCTGTTAATGGTGTGAATGTAGAACAGCACTGTTTCAAAAGTTTTTATAGCAAAGCTTGCAACTTGCCTGCCTAGCAGGAGAGAATATGCAATACAGTATTACAGAAGGTCTCAGCTCCATAAAGGAATGCAGATACCTTGTAAAGAAAGCTTTATCACTTATGTTAAATTTTAAGTTTATTTTTTTTAATGGAAGGTAAAAATTTGTTTAAGTTATGCAGCCTAGTAGGTTGCTGATTTGGTTTTGGAGTGTTTTGGACAGAGGAGAAAACCCATCAGTTCTCTGTGTAGTTAAAAGACAAACCCTCTTTCCAGGGTTTAGAGTAAGTATTATTTCAGCTAGCTATACTCTAGAGAACTCTTGCCTGTACTCAAAATATTTGTTTTTACAAGATGCAAATCATAAATTTGCTACGTGTATAACACTTAACTTGTAGCATCATTTTAAGTAAGGGTACAGTATTTAATTTGTCCTTTCCCATTTTTACTAGAAATAAACAAAACTTGGCAATCAGGGTGCTACTGTTTAGAGCAGTTGTCTCATGTTTTGCAAAACAGAGGGGAACAACTTGAAAGTAAAGTCACTTCTGGTTGTGCTGAGATTTGTTTAGTCATGTTAGTATCTCTGGGAGGTTGTAACACTCTTGGAGTCCTGGCAGTGAAAA